ATTCGTGTTTCAAGTTATGCTCATAAATTTACATACAAAAGCAACAAAACAGACTGTTATATCCGCTAATCTTGTTGTTTAGTGTTTATATGAACAATAACGCAAATATCATGTATAAAAAGTCCTCTTTTGAAAGTCAAAGCACAAATGATGTGCTCGTGGATATGCGTTGCACTGATTGGAGGATTTACTCCGGTTGAAGTAAGCAACTTTTTTGTTTTTACCCAATCATACACTTTTATCACTTTTATAATAATGGCGGTAATTTTTTACTAACAAAAAATCTATAAAGACTTCTTTTTGTTCTTTTCCGCAATTGGAGTATTGTAATGTTTCTAACTCATCCTCAGGCTTTACCAATGGTGGATGACTTTAGATTTTATCATTTTTATGACCTAAATGATCTCGAAGTCCGCATGGAATTCTTGAAAATAACTTTCAATTCTAATAAATACAGTAAAATAAAATGATTCGAATTTTAAGTTCTTATCGGACAAACTCAAAAGTAGAAAGTTTAGAGTCCTTCTACTGTTCTATTTTATTTATAGATTTTCAATTGCTATGAGATTCTCGATTATTTTAGGCGATATTCAAATTCCCAATATTCTGGCCCACTGCTCCTCCATTCCCTACCAGACCACCTTTAACTCTTACCCCAAGAATTCGAACTCGAGAACCGATAACACAAGGTCCATACTATACGGATGACATTGACCTTCGATCATCGACTCCAGGAATAATTGACGGAACGGGTAATGGAAATTTTTCACATTTTAAGAAGATCAGCACTAATTTCTTGTTTTCGGCAACTGTGTCTGTCCTGGACTTGGGAGCAGCTTACCGCCAAGCACACCATCAGTTTCAGTTGAAAGCCCACCTCCCATCATCATAGTAGCGCCTCCATCGGGGCTAGGTAACGATTTATATGAAAAAAGCATTTTTGAAAAATTTACTATGTTGCAGATGTTTCGTCTACTGTTTCACCCGATTTGACTTCAACTTTCCCTGGAAGAGGTAGGATTTCATTAACGATCGATTTAGGAGCTTAGTTCTCTTCAGGTTACCCACCGATCGAGACCTCAGGATCAGGATTACCTGAAGGTATAGATTTAAAAAAATTTAGCCTATTGAAATGATTTATTGTTTGAAGGCAGTGGTGAAGAGTCAGGAGACATTTTGGGAATTCTGGGAATACGCGAGTCATCCGGCGAAGCGTCAGGAATTCCAGAAGCATTTGGAGAATTTTCGGGAACTCCAGAGACATCTGGAGAATCTTCTGGTATCCCAGAGATATCCGGCGAATCATCAGGAGCTCCAGACCTTCTGGAAGGTATGTTTGCTGGTATTCACAAGTATCAAGAAAGAAAATTTCCATCCAGGATCGAGCAGCATACCACCTATAACAGATGGGATAAGTGTTCAATCAAATGCAGGACTACAG